GGAAATAATATGAATGAATTAAATCATAATATTTAAAATGGTTTACTTAATTTTATGGAAATGAAGAAATTAAACTTATCTAATGATGCTGTTGGTAATTATTAATTTAATGATTTTAATAGATCTTATAAAATCTATATTAAATGTGAATCCTAAATTGAGAATAACAACAACTGAGATTTTAAATCATCCATGGCTTAAAGAATTAAATTTGAAATCAAATAAAATATCAACATAGAATACTAATTTAGATTTGAGAATTATTTCTTAAATAGAATAGTTTGGATATTCAAGAGAGTTTATTATTAAAAGTTTGTAAAAATAGACACTCTGTCATATTAATGCAATATATTCGATTTTAACAAAAGTTCAAAAATGATTTAAAATACTTTATTTATTTATAAATATATATAATAGTGATTATTATTACTTATCAAGTTTATGGATTTAGACTGGCTAATTCTTATTTTAATAATGATCGTATTTTTGGTATGAAATCTAATTATTTTATCTTAATACCTTCTTGAATCAATCCTTAATTAAAGACAGAACTATTTATTTATTTTAATCCTGTTCCAAAACTCTTCATTTTCTCATTAAATTTCATTAATTCTCTTGAAAATTCTACATCAACTCTACCTTCCTCACCTTATAGTTTAGATTTTATATTAAAATATTATGATGCAGATTCTTTTCCTTAATTTATTTAATTATCAAGAGTTGTTTCTTATTCTTTAGGCTATTTGGCACTTAAGACATAAACTCTATCTTTGCTTGACACAATAACATCCATAGGAGGTTTAAGAAAAACATAAGGTTTATTATTATTTTTAACTTTTTCTCCTCTATAAAGTCCAATTGGAATCATCTTTTATTCAGTAAGTAATATTTCAAAAAGTTCTCCAAAGGTTTTTTCTTAATATTTTGGAGGTATATTAATAAGAAATAAATTACTTTATTGTAATTTACTTGCTTAATATATTTTTTTATTCTATTTTAAAATAAATATTATTATTATTACCTTTTTGTTAACTGTAGCACTTCCTAAAATCATCTAATCAAAAATACTAGTTATAAAAGGATTATAATAAGCTTAGCATATTAATGTATCAAGCATAGTTGAAATATAAATTTCTCCAGAGGCAAATGGTTCACTCACAGACCAATCATATTTTTGTACATAATTATTTCTAGATATCTATAAAAAAGAAATAGTTGAAATTGAAGCCAATTCAGTTATAATGTTTATATTTTAATTTAATAACTTTACTGTCTTATATATAAAGATTGTATCAGCATCAACAATATTAGATAATCCTTCCTCTTAATCAGCAGATTTTTATAAGATCACTAAAGCTGAAGCCTTTTAAATACAGGCTTTTTTTAAATCTTCAGTATTAAGAGGAGATCCTTATTGAAAATAAACTTTAGGAAATTTATTAATTTATAGTTAGATTTCAGTTGGTATTAAATCTTAATTCAATATTACAATTGGTTAAATATTTTTTAAGGATCTAGCTCTTAAAGGCATCATAAGATATTTCATATCTGAAACAACACCACATACAATAAAATGATTTTCAAATTTTTCTTAGTCTCCCACTTTAGGAAGTCCTGTTGTGATTGTTTAAGGTTTAACTTAATAATAGGCAGGATGTTTAGAAGAATCATCTTTAATACCTTCACTTAATATTTCCTTTAAATATTCAGCTTCTTATTAGATAGCATTTTTATTATTTTATTGTCTTTGAACATTAGGAAAGCAATAATTCTTTTAAATATATTCAGGGAATTTAGTTTATTAAATTTAATCAATGTTAGGCATTTCATTAGCAATTACATAACCATAATGTAAGTAATCTTCAAATAGATATTCAGCTGGGTTAACAAATACACTAGTGCCTGATTCTAATTCTACTTCTAGAGCAAATAAAATAATATTTAACTCTTTATATATTGCTTAAGAAATCTATTCTATTTAAACTCTAAATTACTTAACTAAATGTTAGGCCAACAAATGCTTCAGACTCTAATGGAACTCTATAGATTTCATTTTGCATTCCACATAAATAATCATCAATCCATTCCCCCTTATTTTTATCATATTTTGTAATATCATAAGATGGTTTGGATGATTAAATTAGAAATGAAATAAGTGTATTAATACCAGGACATAAACATGTTTTTCCTAAAAGATAAAGTTTAAGTTCATCAACACATATAACTTAATCAGTTTCATGACCACCAAGAGAATTGAAATATAAATCTTTACTAGAAGGTTGAAGTACTTACAAACATACTCGTGCACCTTTTCTGGATTTCTATTTTTTTGCAAATTATTTCACAGCAAATGCATGAATGATATTACGATAATCATCTCTTTTTGGTGTTCTACTTGTTTTATTGGCTAAAACAATAACACAATTGCAATCCTTTGAACTACATCTCTCTAAATCTTTATTTTATAATGGATGTCCTTCTAAATAAATTACTCTTGATTATAATGCTGGTTATTTCAATTAAAGAGTCATTTCTTCAGTAGGTGCTTATGGTTAAAGTATAACAGTATTTGTATCATTCATTCCATGATCACTATGATAAAGTTCATTTAAAAATGTTTTAAATCCTTCAACTTAAGATGATCCTAACAATAAAACATGTTCTGATTCTTTTTTTGAAATATATTTATTTCTTGCATATTAACTTCTTAAACTGTATACTCTAGTTAACATTTCAACTTGAGTTGGTAATACTAGAAACATAATCAAAATAGCAACAATAATTGAAAATCTTCCATAAATTGTTGTTGGATATACATCACCAAATCCTACTGTTGAAATTGTTACAACCATAAAATATATATATTCAACTATTGAATAATCTTGTTCAACTACATAAAGAACTGAAGAATTGATCATTATTATTGCCATGACTGTTACAATTGGTTTGTATGCTAACCTAAATACTCTAAATTAAATCAATTTAATACCTTCCATTGATAATCTCTATAATACTTTATCTAATTTATAACATAATAAAAAACGCAATACTCTCAATAAATATATATATTTGTATCCAGTAATAATATTTAATCTAGCAAGCAATGATGGAAATATTGAAACATATTCAATTAATGATGTTGTTTAAAAAGTAAAGAACAATTTATTTTCTGAAAGGTAAAAATTAATAGCAAAATCAAGCAAGAAATATATATAACATATCAATTCAGGAATCTAGAAACTTTTAATGTGATTTATATTACTGTAATAAATGCTTATGCTTCTCCAACATCATAAGTTCCACCTTAAACCCAAAATGAACAATCAATTAGATGTAATACTGTTAATAAAAAACTCAAAAGTACGTTGATTCCATCTAAATAATCTCCAATTCCAGAAGTTGATAAATATTTTGCCATTTTTAATGTGAATGTAGTCTTACCTTCTTCATGTTTCTTTGTAGTTGCATCATCTTCAGAATTAACCAATCTAATTAGAGCATACTAATCTTAATGGCTGAAAATAGACTATTTACCTTCATAAATCATTATTAAAATAATTCAGATTGGTATTCATTAAATTAAATTTAAATCCAAATGATCATTGAAGAAAATGAATTTGATAAACAAATAGATGATCTCTTAAATAAAGAGAAGACAGCTCGTTTAGCCAATAATTTAGTTGAAACACTTAAAATCACTAAATAAATTGCTAGATTGTGTTTTGATACAAAATAATACTCAAAATTTAATGAATTAATAGTATCACTTAGTAAAAAGAGAGGATAACCAAAAAAAGCATAAATTGAACTTGTTTAAATGGCTATGGCTGAATTAAAGACACTTACAATAAATTAAAAATTGGAAATGATAGATGCCATTATGAAAGTATGTGAAAAGAAGATTTACTTAGAAGTTGAGTATGCTCGTTGTGTATTGATGCTTACATAATATAAAGAAGATGATAATTAAATTGCTGATGCTGCCAAAATATTATAAGAAGTTTAAGTTGAAACTTATGGATCTATGGATAAAAGAGAAAAATTAGAATTCATTTTATATTAAATGAAAATTATGATTAAGAAATTAGATTATGTTAGATTATTTATAATCTCAAAGAAGATTGAACCTAAAAATATTGAAGATGATAATATAGCAGATCTTAAGATTATTTATTATTCATTCTTAGTTATTTATTATAGACATGAAAATAATTATCAAGAAACAGCTCATGCTTATTCTAAAATATTAGAATCATTACATAAAAATAGATAATTAGAAGCTACAAAAGTTGATTTCAATTTCAAAATTGATTATAATACAATCTTAGAAAATTATGCTTTATATACAATATTAAGTCAATATTCTGATGATAAGGTATTTTATAAAATAATATAAATTAGTAAAAATAATTGTAGAATATTATAACAACATATAAATATGGTCTTGAAGCATTACCTAATTTATAATAATTGATTTAAGCATTTTTAGGAACTGAATTGATTAGTACTGGACCATAAACTCATAATATTCAAGCAGCTGAAATATTTGATGAAGGTATAGAGAATAATTAATAAAGATATAAAGGTAATTATTGAATTTAATATTTTTAGACTTTAGAAGATAATTAATACATCATAATTTAAGAATTTTTTAGATATATTATGATTCTGTATATCTTAATAGAATAACAGAATTAATTGGAATTAGTACCTAAGAATTGGAAGAAGAAATTTGTATTATGATGGATTAAAAAGTATTATTTTATTTTTAATCATTTAAGTTACTTAAATGCAAAATTGATAGAATTTAAGGAATAGTTGATTACTAGTTAAAGAAAAATGAAAATGATGTTTTGTTAGAATGGGGTGATAATGTAAATAAAGTCTTAAATCTGATTGATTTAACAAGCAATTTGATTAAAAGAGAAGAAGAATTGTTTTTATGAGTATAATCATTCAGTACATAAGTTTCTATTTTAATATTAAAATAATTTATAATCATGTATTCTGATGATAGAGATGGTTCTTAGTATTCTGGAAATAATGCAGAATACAATGAAAATTATTAAGGAGATGGTTAAGATGTTGATATGGAAGAATAACAATATTATGATGATGAAGATTAAGATTAAGATTTGTAACAGCAAGATGATTATCAAGAATATTAACCAGAAGAATAATAAGAAGATCAATAAAGTAATTACTTATAATAATAAGGCTTTAAATATTAACCATTTGATCAAAGAAAATGGTAATGGGCAGAACCATTGATTGAGGGAGTTCCTCCTTGTGCTAGAGGAGGACATTCAGCAACTTTGAGTGGAGCATCTATTATCTTATTTGGAGGGCATTATTATGCAAATAAAGATGAGGGATATAAATATTTGAATGACACATATTAAATGGATGTTAATGCCAATAGATGGTTTAAGGCTAAAGTATAAGGTACTCCACCTGCTCCTAGATATGCACATTCTGCAGTTTTAGCAGGATAAAGAATAATTATATTTGGAGGGAAAGGAGAAAAATGTGTATTCCGAGATTTACATGCTCTTGATCCATTAACATTAACATGGTATTAAGGACCTGAAGGATCTGGGTCTCCAAGTGCTAGATTTGCACATTCTGCTACTTTAGTAATTATTTTACAATAAATTATTTTAATAGTATGCCTCAACTAAAATGATAATATTTGGAGGATGGAATGGAATTGATTATTTTAATGATCTCTATGTTTTAGACTTAGAAGTAATGGCTTGGTCTTAACCTCCTTGTACTGGACCATCTCCAACTCCTCGTTAAGGACATACAGCTATACAGGTTGGTGCCAATTTAATCATTCAAGGGGGATTCTATTATCAAGAAGATAAAAATCTTAAAAATCTTCATAAAACAGCAAATCCTAGACATGGATCTCATTTAAGAGGATGCTATCTAAATGATATTAGAATTCTTGATACTGAGCATTTTGCATGGAGTCGACTTAGAGTAAGTGGTACACCTCCAGCTCCAAGATATGGACATTCAGCAAATGTAAGTGGAGCAGATATTGTTGTATTTGGAGGATGGTCATTAAACTCTGGGGCTAGAAGGTAAGTTAATTAAATATTTAAGTGAAAATAATTTTGTTACTTCACCAGATATTGATTATTTGATTATATTGAATACTGAAAAGATGTGTTGGGAAAAGGCTAAATATGAAGGAAATGCTCCAAGAAATAGATATGGTCATACTGCTACATCTATAGGTCCACATATTTTGATTTTTGGAGGTTGGGAATATAATAGAGCTACAAATCAAGTTGTTGTATTGAGAGATCTTAATGTTGGATAATAATAATAATAATAATAAGAAAAAAAGAAATGATTAATTATATTAAATTGCTTATAATAATATTTAATTTTTCAAGGTTTTAAGGCTTGAATTGCTTTGCTCAGGATTTCAGATTGCAGTTTAGGAAATGCAGGATTTATTTGTAGAATTAATTTGCAAATATTTATTGCATCAACGAAACGCTAAGTTTATATGATTTATTTTTATACTTTTGCTTTTAAATAGTTAAATGCTAATCTATAACCCATAATAGGATTTCTTTGATTTGTTAATTTGAATGCTTTTTCATATGAATTAGATGCATCAATATATGATTACTCTTTTTCCTTTATTAAACCCATTAATTCTTCAGCTTTAGCACAACATTTATTTTATTTCAAGCATTTTCTTAAAATTTCTTCAGCTTAATCATATTTTTAAATAGATATAAATGCATCAGCATGCAATAACCATGCTCTTTCTAATTCATCTCTTTCCCAACCACTTGTATCAGCTTACTTTGCCCATAACAATTTCAAAATTGTCTTTCCTTCAGTTTATTTTTTACTTAAGAATTTATTTATAGCTAAACTCAACATTGCTGGAACCCATTCTTTATTACTTTTTAATATTTATGCCAATATAGTACTAGCCATTTCTATAGATTTTGGTATACCTGACAATTATAATACATAAGCCTACATAACCAAATATCTATAATATAGAGAATTGAATATACCTTGACATACTCCCTCTATTTTAAAGTTCCTTTAGTAATTAATCGCAAGCCTTTAAATTTTCTGCTGCAACTGGTTTTGGTTATTCATCTGTTATTGAATAATAAAGATCCTAATCAGGATTCAAATACAAATCAATCATATAAGTCAAACTGTCTTCAGCATATTATTAATGTTTCTTTGCATAATTAAATTATATCAATGCTTCTTTTGGTTAATTTTTATATTTATAATACAATCCTCTACAAAAACATAATCCTGGTTCATTTTAGTTTTATGTAGCTTTAGCACAATTATCAATAATAATTTAAATTTCATCTAATCTATTTTACTTTCTATACCAATCTATTACTTTAGATAAAGTTCCAAAAGAATTTGGTTTCTCTTATAAGGTTTAAACAAATTATTAAATTGATTTTTCACTATCATCTTATTATAAAACTAATTCTGACAACATCATTGAAGCATAATCATTTTTTGGATTCAATTTTTATAATATTTTTAATTTTTATTCGCATGAAATCTTATCACCATTTTAATAAAATGTTTCTGCTTATAACTAAATCAAACTTTCATTTGTAGGTATGAATTTAATACCATCATCTATACAATCTAATGTTGCCTTGTAATTTCTTTCATTATAAAAGAAATACCTAGCTTATTCTAAAAATATTAATCCTAATTATTCCTTTTCCTTATTTACATTAGCAGCTTCTTATTTACTTTTTTCAATAACATCTTTTTATGTTTAGACTGCAAATTCAAATGCTTTTCTTATTTTTTCTATTAATTTTTAAGATTCTGCCATCAATTATTATTAGATTTTCTCTTTTTCAGCATTTTATGCTTAATTAAATGTAGCTTATTATAATTTAGTAACCATTCTTGCAATTAACAGAAATCCTTAAGCATTTGCTTTCAAAGTTGTCAATGTTGGTGCAGCATAATCATCAGTAATAAATTTCTCCCAAACTAAAATTTATTCTGCTTTTTTAATATTATTCATTCTCAAATATAATCTGCCTAAATCTACTAATAAATCTTATCTTCCTGGAGTCTTTTATAAAGCAGCTTCATAATAATTAACTGCTTTCTGATAATCATATGTCATTGTAAGTGCATTACCAATAATTCTTGTAATTTCTTCATCTTCTGGATTCAATTCAGCAGCTTTTTAATAACTTAAAACTGCTTCTTAAGGTTCATTTATTTTCATAAATGCTTCTCCAATTAATTTATAATTTTCTGCTGTTGGTTCAGCTTCAATAATTTCAGCATAACNAATATAGTACTAGCCATTTCTATAGATTTTGGTATACCTGACAATTATAATACATAAGCCTACATAACCAAATATCTATAATATAGAGAATTGAATATACCTTGACATACTCCCTCTATTTTAAAGTTCCTTTAGTAATTAATCGCAAGCCTTTAAATTTTCTGCTGCAACTGGTTTTGGTTATTCATCTGTTATTGAATAATAAAGATCCTAATCAGGATTCAAATACAAATCAATCATATAAGTCAAACTGTCTTCAGCATATTATTAATGTTTCTTTGCATAATTAAATTATATCAATGCTTCTTTTGGTTAATTTTTATATTTATAATACAATCCTCTACAAAAACATAATCCTGGTTCATTTTAGTTTTATGTAGCTTTAGCACAATTATCAATAATAATTTAAATTTCATCTAATCTATTTTACTTTCTATACCAATCTATTACTTTAGATAAAGTTCCAAAAGAATTTGGTTTCTCTTATAAGGTTTAAACAAATTATTAAATTGATTTTTCACTATCATCTTATTATAAAACTAATTCTGACAACATCATTGAAGCATAATCATTTTTTGGATTCAATTTTTATAATATTTTTAATTTTTATTCGCATGAAATCTTATCACCATTTTAATAAAATGTTTCTGCTTATAACTAAATCAAACTTTCATTTGTAGGTATGAATTTAATACCATCATCTATACAATCTAATGTTGCCTTGTAATTTCTTTCATTATAAAAGAAATACCTAGCTTATTCTAAAAATATTAATCCTAATTATTCCTTTTCCTTATTTACATTAGCAGCTTCTTATTTACTTTTTTCAATAACATCTTTTTATGTTTAGACTGCAAATTCAAATGCTTTTCTTATTTTTTCTATTAATTTTTAAGATTCTGCCATCAATTATTATTAGATTTTCTCTTTTTCAGCATTTTATGCTTAATTAAATGTAGCTTATTATAATTTAGTAACCATTCTTGCAATTAACAGAAATCCTTAAGCATTTGCTTTCAAAGTTGTCAATGTTGGTGCAGCATAATCATCAGTAATAAATTTCTCCCAAACTAAAATTTATTCTGCTTTTTTAATATTATTCATTCTCAAATATAATCTGCCTAAATCTACTAATAAATCTTATCTTCCTGGAGTCTTTTATAAAGCAGCTTCATAATAATTAACTGCTTTCTGATAATCATATGTCATTGTAAGTGCATTACCAATAATTCTTGTAATTTCTTCATCTTCTGGATTCAATTCAGCAGCTTTTTAATAACTTAAAACTGCTTCTTAAGGTTCATTTATTTTCATAAATGCTTCTCCAATTAATTTATAATTTTCTGCTGTTGGTTCAGCTTCAATAATTTCAGCATAACATTTTGTATAATTTCTTCGATCTTTTAAATATTTTAAATAGACATCAGCTAATATGATTCTTGAATTAACAAAATTTGGTTATCCACTTTAAACAGCCTTAAGAATATTAATTGCTTTCTTAATATCTCCACTTTCTATAGCAATTTCACTATTAGCCATCATAATTGTGCTTTCATGAGGACTACCTGCATATTCCTAGATAGCTTTTTACATAATCTNAACTGGTTTTGGTTATTCATCTGTTATTGAATAATAAAGATCTTAATCAGGATTCAAATACAAATCAATCATATAAGTCAAACTGTCTTCAGCATATTATTAATGTTTCTTTGCATAATTAAATTATATCAATGCTTCTTTTGGTTAATTTTTATATTTATAATACAATCCTCTACAAAAACATAATCCTGGTTCATTTTAGTTTTATGTAGCTTTAGCACAATTATCAATAATAATTTAAATTTCATCTAATCTATTTTACTTTCTATACCAATCTATTACTTTAGATAAAGTTCCAAAAGAATTTGGTTTCTCTTATAAGGTTTAAACAAATTATTAAATTGATTTTTCACTATCATCTTATTATAAAACTAATTCTGACAACATCATTGAAGCATAATCATTTTTTGGATTCAATTTTTATAATATTTTTAATTTTTATTCGCATGAAATCTTATCACCATTTTAATAAAATGTTTCTGCTTATAACTAAATCAAACTTTCATTTGTAGGTATGAATTTAATACCATCATCTATACAATCTAATGTTGCCTTGTAATTTCTTTCATTATAAAAGAAATACCTAGCTTATTCTAAAAATATTAATCCTAATTATTCCTTTTCCTTATTTACATTAGCAGCTTCTTATTTACTTTTTTCAATAACATCTTTTTATGTTTAGACCGCAAATTCAAATGCCTTTCTTATTTTTTCTATTAATTTTTAAGATTCTGCCATCAATTATTATTAGATTTTCTCTTTTTCAGCATTTTATGCTTAATTAAATGTAGCCTATTATAATTTAGTAACCATTCTTGCAATTAACAGAAATCCTTAAGCATTTGCTTTTAAAGTTGTCAATGTTGGTGCAGCATAATCATCAGTAATAAATTTCTCCCAAACTAAAATTTATTCTGCTTTTTTAATATTATTCATTCTCAAATATAATCTGCCTAAATCTACTAATAAATCTTGTCTTCCTGGAGTCTTTTATAAAGCAGCTTCATAATAATTAACTGCTTTCTGATAATCATATGTCATTGTAAGTGCATTACCAATAATTCTTGTAATTTCTTCATCTTCTGGATTCAATTCAGCAGCTTTTTAATAACTTAAAACTGCTTCTTAAGGTTCATTTATTTTCATAAATGCTTCTCCAATTAATTTATAATTTTCTGCTGTTGGTTCAGCTTCAATAATTTCAGCATAACATTTTGTATAATTTCTTCGATCTTTTAAATACTTTAAATAGACATCAGCTAATATGATTCTTGAATTAACAAAATTTGGTTATCCACTTTAAACAGCCTTAAGAATATTAATTGCTTTCTTAATATCTCCACTTTCTATAGCAATTTCACTATTAGCCATCATAATTGTGCTTTCATGAGGACTACCTGCATATTCCTAGATAGCTTTTTACATAATCTTTTTTGCTTCAGTTTCTTTTTTATTAATTGCATACACTTTAGCTAATAATACAAAAACTTGACATTTATCTTTTTCTGTAAATTATACAATTTTTGATTTAACTTTAATTTTATTCTTATATTTTCCTGCAACTAGTTCATAAGCTGCTTCTAATGTTATTTATGCATTCTTATAATCTTCAGTTCTATACTCAACCTCTCCCTTAACTAACATAAATAATGGATTTTCTCTTATTGCAAAATTATTAGATATGGCTTAATTCAAAGAATTTGCTGCTAAATTAATTTATTTAGTCTTAATAGAAATTAATGCATGTAATATATATCCATCTTCATTTTTAGGATCTAATTCTAAAACTCTATTAATGGTTTTCAATGCTTCTTGTGGATCTCCTAATGCCATTTTACCAGTTGATAATAATAATTAAACATTTGTTAATCCAGGGGCTTATCTTGCAATACTTTCTAATAGTTTTGTTCCTTTTCCAATACCTGAAGTTGGTAATTCCTTACCTGCTAACATTAAGTTGGTGGATAGATTTCTCAGATACATTTAAGCTATTGTAAATGTGAAATCTGGATTAAACTTTATATAAAATTCATATCCAGGTAGTAATTATTTACTTTAAGTTAAATGAAGTTTAAGTGTTTCTTCAATGAATTATTAAGCAATAGGAGAGTCTGTACCTTCTGATTTCTTACTTTCTAATAGGGCTTATAAAAATGCGATTTCAGTTGTTCTTCCAACAGAAACTTAAACTTCTTATACAAATTCCAATTATTTTTCTGCATCATCAATTACTCCTTATAATATTTTACATTAAATCATTCCAGCTAAAGATTCCATTCTTCCTTCATCTAAAGCTGCTGCTTCTTAGAAAAAACCGTAAGCCTTCTCATAGTCCTCTAACATCAAAGTTTCTTAAGCTAATTCTAAACACAAATCACCTAATAATGGAGCTATTTTTCTTGTTTTCTAAATTTAACTCATAGTCAATTAGAGAATTTATTGATTTCTTCCTGAAACTCTTGATAACAATTAACAACAATTCAAAATTAATGAAACATTATCTTCTTCTTATTTTTAAATGGCATTAAATAATTCTTCAATTTTTTCTAAGGATTCTCTTACATCTCCTTTTCTTGCCAAATTGTAAAATGCTATAGCTTTCAATCCAAATATATTAGTTGGATCATCATAGAGTATTTTATTTGCTAGATCCTAAAATTATTCCCAATCTTAAATAAATATACAAAATCGCAACTTCTCAACATCTGTAAATGGAAAATCTCTCCAAACAATCATTAATTCATTTAAAGCATCTAATGTTATAGGATATTTTTTATTTATTTCTGAAGCCTTTGCCAAACCTAGTAAATATTCAATTGGCTTTTAATTGAATTATCCTAATGATAATATGAGTTTAAATACCACCAATGCTTTAAAAGTAATCTAGTACTTCAACCACATTTATTTATTCATCCTTTTATAATAATTTATACCACCCTAAAGTGATTTAACTTATAGGTTGTCCTTATGATAATAATTCCAAAACTTCCTTTGCCTTTCTACCTTCATCTACAAATAAATAGAAATAAATGGCACTCTAAAATGCTCGATCATTTGGAGTCTTTCGACCCTCGCTTTACATTTGTCTACAAGTTTCAATAATTTCCTATAAAATTAAACTTTCGCTCATACCCTATCAACACCACGTTGTTACTATGAATAGTAGATAAGTGCTGCTGAAGTTGCAAATTAAAATTCTTTTTTATTTCTAATAAGTGTTAACTCATTTATTGCTTCATTCAAACTTCCACTTTTGAAATAGCAGAACGCCCTCCAAAATTGAAAGAATGGATCTTGAGTTCTTTGATAAAACTAAGTATATTCATCTTAAATTACCTTATGACACAGCACCTATGTTGATTTCCATAAACCTTCTCTTAACAAGTAAAAAACTTGAGATTATTGAATAAGTAAATCGCTACTCATTTATATAAAAAAAGAAAAATAAATAAAATTATAGCAGTTAAGATCAGAGCAATTTAACTAATTACCCTTCCTTCCAAATTCCTTTGGTAATTTATTATATTCCATATCCCTTATGAAATTCTCCTTATCCATGTTATAGTCCATTTTCCCATTGACCTATGTATTTTCGACCATCAAAATAAGAAAATATTCCAAAGCCATGTTTTTGATCATTCAAATATTCACCCTTATACGAACGCCCATCAGGCCAAGTCATGAGTCCTTTTCCATTCATTTTGCCATTAAACCATTCTCCTTCATAGATTCTCCCATCTTACCATCTCTATTTATTTCAAGATTAATATATACATATGTTCCTAATCCATTGATATTATCGAATTGAAATTCACCTTCATAAATTTCTCCAATATTAAATGTTAATTTCCCTGTTCCATGTTTTTCTCCATCTAGAAAATTACCCACATAAACAGAACCATTAGCATACCATTCTATACCTTTTCCATTAGGCAAATCTTTTTCCCAACTACCTTTATGTTAATTTCATTGCATAATACCTTCATATTTGCATCCATTATTATAATTGTATATACCTTAACCATGCATTTTACTGTATTACCATTGTCCTCGATAATAGGTCCCTTCCTTACTTTTAAATTCGCCTTTGCCATGAAATAATCCTTTTACAAATTCTCCTAAATAATAAGATTAATCAGAAAAAATGTATTTGCCTTTACCATCCGGTAATGAATCCAGCCATTCTCCATTATATGTATTCCCACCAATTAATTTAATTGTATCGAATTTTTTTCTCTTGTGATTTTGTTATTTTAATTTTATTTAGTCATTTGCCTAGAGTATCTCTAAAGTCAAAACACAACGAAAGTTAAATGAATTTATTTTCTCTTTCTAATTTTTAAGAGTCCCTGGACAATTTTTAGAAGATTAAAGATATTTTTAAAAAACAGTTTAGTCGTTTTAATTCCATTCTTCGAAATCGGATTAATCAATTTCCTTTGGTTTTAATTTGAGACTTAGTTAACGTTTAAAATTTTAGTGAGCTCTTTGTTATTAATTGTTTTGGATACTAGAAAGTGTCTTGGAAACATCAGATTAATTAATTATAGGAGAATATGAGTTAGTATGATACTCAATAATGAAATCTTCAGTTGAATTACATTTAATCTGATTTTTTGGTCCTTTTTCTGCTAATTTTAAGCTTTAAATAAATATCTAATTCTACTTTAATTTTTATCTGGTAATGTATGATCTATAGGCTGATTAAATTTTAATTGCCATTCTATGATTTTGAGGGGATTACTTAATTGTAATGTTCTAGATTCTTCCTGATTTGAGTGGCTCTTACTTCTACATACATTAATTACATGAGCCCATTATTATATAATTATTTAAAACTAATTAAATAATCTTTTACAAATATTAACTGAATACTTCTACTTTAAAGTTACTGATATTCATTTAAGTAATGTCATATAATGAAACATAAATTTATTATGTAAAATAATACCATAATTTATGAAAAAATGTATAAGTTGTATTAAATAGAATTTTACAATAATTTATTTAATTTTTTATGATGATTTATAGCCAAATATGATGTTCTGTATTACAGAATTAATGATCTATTGAGGAGGTATTCTGAGTGTAAAATATATAAATTTTTGCTTCTATTTTTTAATAATTAATATCATTATGGACCCAAGAAAGAAAGTTAAAGTGTAATAATATGAAGATGAAGATGAAATGGAATATGATGAAAGAAATGATTAATAATAAGATATGTAATTTAGAGAATAAAATATTGAATTATTTGATGAAAGACAATTAAGAGAAATGATATTTCAATTTGAAAATAATTACAAACTAAACTCTGATTTGAGAATGAGATATCCAAATCAACCTGATAAATTTATAGATTCTGAAGTTGATTTAGATGAAGATTTAAGAAAACTTTTAATCTTACCTGCATATCCTCAATTATATCCAATATTTTATAGTAGTAATGCTGTTCAGATTGTGATATAATTGTTATTACATAATAATCTGTCTATTTCATATGATGTAATTCAATTTTTAAAGGAATTGGTGGCTCCTGATGGTGAAGTTGAACCTAAAATAATTCTTCAATTATATGATTGTCTTATCAGAAATTATTTGATTGAATCATTAGGAGAGTTGATTGTAAAGAATGAAGAGAAAACTTAAGAGGAAGTTAATTTATTACATGATTGTTTTGAAGTTATTGAAAATATGGTGGACATCAAATCATCAATAAGTAAAGAAATTGGTATTCGTTCCAAGATTATTTAATATTTAGTGAAAAGAGTGGAAGATAATAGTCAAACTTTAGATGATAATAGATTATATGCTTCAGAATTATTAGTTATACTTACTTAGTAGACAAAGGAAAATTTGGAAATCATTGGTAGAAGTGGTGGAATTGAAAGTTTACTGATTGTATTAAATTAATATAGAAAAAAAGATCCAGAAACAGCAGAAGAGAAAGAAATATTAAATAATGTTTATGATTTACTTACATTACTTTTAATTTAAGAAGAAAATTAAGATTATTTTCAAAGTTATGAAGGACTTCAATTAATGATCAAAATTATTCAAGGAAAAACCTCATCTTCCATAAGAGCTTATAGTTTAATTCTATTGGCAATTAATAATCATAAAGAAAATTGTTAGAAGTTAATTTAAATAGGAGGATTATCTATTATATTTCCTATTTTAGAACGTAAGGGATTAAAACATAAGGATTAAAATAAATAGTTTGAAATTGATGAAACTACTGTTTAGATTATCAAATAATTGCTTAGAAGAAATACTGATATTACTTTTAAATAAAGAATATTTGAAAAATGTGTTGAAAAATTAGAGAGTCTTAAAAAACTTAGAAATGAATATGTAGAGGTGATTCCCTTGATTGATCCTGAAGAATATGATAATTTAGATGAAAATTAATTATAGAAAATCTATTTTGATTTATTGGGAAAGGGATTAATTGTTATTGAGTCTATCGATGTCATATTATTAGAATTAATTTATAAAGATTTAGAAGTTTAAATAGATAAATAAGAAATTATAAGCTCAGTGAAATAAATGTTAAAATACACTGGAGAAAAGGAAGATATTGAATACTATAATCCTCTTCTTTAGAAATTTGAAGTAAATCCATAATGATTAAAATAATAATTGGTATTTTATTAATAAATATATTATAATTATGTAACAGGAAAGCATATATAACTTGATTCCTAAGGAATACGTACCTCCTCCAAAAGAACCAATGTATCGATCGGCATATCCAAGTGGATTGACACCAACTGGCAGCACATTCAATAATCATACAACTAGTCGACCTAAAGTAGTTGTATTATTTTATTCAGGTTAATAATATCAATGGAGATTTTGAGTTAGTCAGGGGACCACATACTCATAAGGGATAATCCAATTCTCTTGGAAGACCTAGGGGTAATTTCACTTTGAATTTTTATAGGATCATACTAACCTGATTCTACTATGTTCAGATTGAAAAATACTGGAACAATGGGATCAAACCAACTCCCAGAAGGTAATATATTATAATCATGAAATAGTTAAACAATATAAATATCCTCCTTCAGTCAGACCTCCTGTACCCAAAAAGGATGAAAAGCCTATTCATGGACTTAAATCAAATAAAAATTTCATAGTGACAAATGCAGTAGAAAATATTCTAAGTGCACCAAAATAAATAGTAGATGAAAAACCATGGACTGAAAAAAAGGACTATGGTAAGGTACCTGACTATCTTACAAAAATATAATAAAGCATTTCAAGTGAATATGAAATTATTAGAAATATGCATATAAGTGAAGCTGAAGAAATGGATAAATAAAAATATTTGATGACATAAGAAGAAGTTGAATAATTAAAAAAGGGATTAAAAAAGAAATGGGAATCTGTTAATAAAGAATACTAATCAATTACACATATTCGAATGATTGATACTGTTGGATTAAAGAGAAAGTAATAATAAATCCATATTATTTTTATAGAAAAGAGTAATGTGAGAAGGAATTGGCTTAATTGGAGAAAGATATTGAAAAATTAAATAAAAATTATGTCTTTGTTGACACATAAAAATGATGATCATTCCAAAAATATATATATGTATAATCGTATTTAACTTTGCCGCTTTATTAAATAATTATTAAACATGGGAATTCATCAACTTATGTAATTTCTAAAAGAAAAAGCACCAAATTGTTTTAGAACTTTGATGCTTGACTATTTTGCAGGAAGGTATTAGTATTATTTAACATATAGAACAATCGGTTGTGATGCATCTATGGCTATGTATTAATTTTTAATTTAAACACAATCTGCAGGATAAACATAAATTATAGAGTTAACAGATAAAGATGGTAATAGAACTGGACATTTGGTTGGGTTATTTAATAGAACATTGTAATTTCTTGAAAATGGTATTAAACCTGTTTGGGTATTTGATGGAAAGCCTCCTTAATTAAAAAGTGGTGAATTAGCAAGAAGAAAGAAATTAAAAGAAGAGGCTTAAGTTAAAACTGAGTTGGCTCTTGAAAAAGGTGATATGCAATAGGCTTTGCTTTAAAATCAAAGAACAACTACAATCACTAGTATAATGAAAGATGATGCAATTAAAATGTTAAAATTACTGGGTTGCCCTATCATAATAGCACCATGTGAAGCAGAAGCTTAATGTGCTGAATTATGTAGAGCNTGAATTTTTATAGGATCATACTAACCTGATTCTACTATGTTCAGATTGAAAAATACTGGAACAATGGGATCAAACCAACTCCCAGAAGGTAATATATTATAATCATGAAATAGTTAAACAATATAAATATCCTCCTTCAGTCAGACCTCCTGTACCCAAAAAGGATGAAAAGCCTATTCATGGACTTAAATCAAATAAAAATTTCATAGTGACAAATGCAGTAGAAAATATTCTAAGTGCACCAAAATAAATAGTAGATGAAAAACCATGGACTGAAAAAAAGGACTATGGTAAGGTACCTGACTATCTTACAAAAATATAATAAAGCATTTCAAGTGAATATGAAATTATTAGAAATATGCATATAAGTGAAGCTGAAGAAATGGATAAATAAAAATATTTGATGACATAAGAAGAAGTTGAATAATTAAAAAAGGGATTAAAAAAGAAATGGGAATCTGTTAATAAAGAATACTAATCAATTACACATATTCGAATGATTGATACTGTTGGATTAAAGAGAAAGTAATAATAAATCCATATTATTTTTATAGAAAAGAGTAATGTGAGAAGGAATTGGCTTAATTGGAGAAAGATATTGAAAAATTAAATAAAAATTATGTCTTTGTTGACACATAAAAATGATGATCATTCCAAAAATATATATATATATAAAATCATATTAAACTTTGGCGCTTTTATTAATTAATTAATTTATATGGGAATTCATCAACTTATGCAATTTCTTAAAGAGAAAGCACCAAATTGTTTTAGGACATTGATGCTTGACTATTTTGCTGGAAGGTAATAGTATTATTTAACATATAGAACTATCGGTTGTGATGCATCTATGGCTATGTATTAATTTTTAATTTAAACACAATCTGCAGGATAAACATAAATTATAGAGTTAACAGATAAAGATGGTAATAGAACTGGACATCTTGTTGGATTATTTAATAGAACATTGCAATTTCTTGAAAATGGAATTAAACCTGTTTGGGTATTTGATGGAAAGCCTCCTTAATTAAAAAGTGGTGAGTTGGCAAGAAGAAAGAAATTAAAAGATGAGGCTTAAGTTAAAACTGAATTGGCTCTTGAATAAGGTGATATGCAATAGGCATTGCTTTAACATTAAAGAACAACAACTATTTCTAGTACTATGAAAGAAGATGCAATAAAAATGTTGAAATTGATGGGATGTCCAGTTATTATTGCACCATGTGAAGCAGAAGCCTAATGTGCTGAATTATGTAGAGCAGGAAAAATATATGCTACAGCAACTGAAGATATGGATGCTTTAACATTCAGAACACCTGTTTTATTAAGAGGATTCAATACAAAAAAGGAACCAATTTATGAAATTATTTATGATGATATGATAAAAGAGTTAGAATTAACATATGAATAATTTGTAGATTTATGCATTTTAGTAAAAGTATTTTATCTATTTTTTAGTGTGGATGCGATTATACTGAAAAAATTGAAGGTATTGGACCTGGAACAGCTTATAAACTTATAAAAGAATATAAAAATATTGAAGGAATTTTAGAACATGTTTAAAAAGTCAATGAAGAAAGACAAAAAAATAATTAAAATCCTAAATATACAGTTCCTTCCAAATTTTTGTATTAAGATAGTCGAGAACTATTTATAACACCATTAGTTTAAAAGGGGGAAGAAATTTAAGTATAATTAAAAACTAATTTAAAGTTAAGTTGGAACAAACCAGATGTTGAAAATCTTAAAAAGTTTTTAATAGAAGAAAAAGGCTTTGCAGAATCAAGAATCGATAATGGACTAAAAAGGATTGCTAAAAAGGATCATACTGGTTTCTAAAGTAGATTGGAGAATTTCTTTGGTAAAACCACAAAAGTTATTCATCCAAATAATAGTAAAGCAAAAGGAAAATCTAATAAGAAGAATGAATAAACTTAAAAATCAAATGGAAAGAAAAAAATGTGATTTATATATATATTAAATTTCTTTATTTTTAGTTAAGTCTAAGTATTTGATTTCTAAGATAAATCAAATTTAGTTTAAAATTAAATTATTAAAATAGGAAATTAAAACTAAGATTCTTATTGTCATAAATTTTTAATTTATCTTAATTAAAAATGGGAACACAAATCTTAATTGATAATTCAGGTTGATAAATATAGATTAAGGATTAGCAAGTACACTGAAATTATATCAGCTACAATATAACCCATTTTTAAGTTTTGTTGTTTTTCTTTAATTTCTTAAATATATTGATTAGATTTATAAATAGGTAAATTAAGAATGCTATTTTTTTATTGAGAAAATTCGTGGCTTTAAATGCAAATACTATCAACAAGTTTTATTCTCTTATTATTCAAGAAACACTCGTAAAATGAATTGATGAGTTTGAATAATATTATTTAAATGTTAGTACTTCAAAAATGATTTAGAATAATTTACAAAAATAATTCTTGAAATAATTATATTAGAACTTATAATAAGTGAATAAATAATTAGATTTTAGAAATATATATAATCCAAGAATTGATCATCAATAATCTTAAAAAATTTAATAATCATATCCTATTTTGCAAAGGCATTGAAAAATGATTCATTATAAAAGTTATACTACATGTTTCTATATGAATTATTATAATTTTGTTATTTAATAAATAAATTAGCTTAAATTTATATTGAATGACTGACAACCAATTTGATAATTAGAATGAATTTGATGAAATGGTAAACTTCAACTTTGTCATTCGTAAAAATATCATTCATTCTAGATATTCATTTAAAAAAAAGAAGCGCTAGAAAAACACAAACAATTATTGTTGGCATTCCAGATGAATTTGATTTGAATAAAATTATTAGATTTTGGAAGAAAGTATATTTAATTCTTAGTTATAGCAATTTAATTGTACAGGTGGTATTATATCTAAAGATGAGGATTATGGAGATTAAGTAACAATTAGATTGACAGGAGATAATAGATAATAAATTGCTAAATTTTTAGTGGAAGAAGGAATAGCTTTATAAGATAACATTAAAGTTCATGGTATTTGATATATCAAATGATATTTATAAACTAATTGATTATTTCCAATCATTCCTATATAAATATGAATATATAGGAAATTCTATAAAAATGATAACATAAATAGATATTTATAATGGAATAAACTAAGAGGATATATATCATAAATCATAATCTTTAGCTAAAATACTCATTAATTTTGACATAGTTTTTGGTGATCTTATAAATAAAACATTGTTTTAAATTGTTACTTAAACAAATAAATAAAAAATAAAAGATATTTTAATTTACATAGATGAAATTTAAGATTTGATATGTATTAATTACTAGAAATATATATTAACGAATTAGATATTAATTATATTATGTTAAAATCTAATTAATTATAATTTTTTTATTAATATATATAATTTCAAATAATATACAAACTTTTATAAATACATCTAAATTATTATGTTGCATCAATTAATTTTTGTAATTCTATTTATTTATATATTATAATTAATAAAATATCGTCATTAATTAATTTAATATTCACTATGTAAGAGCAAACTTCATAATAAAATCATGGCAATTCAAATAAGAAAGGAGACAAGTTGATAAATCTGATAATCTTTATTATCAAATTATTTTTTTAAATCATATATGCAATATGCAATATACCCTTTAAGAAAAAATAAGGTTAAGAACATTCATAGATCTAAGAACATTAAAAGAAGAGTAATGAGAGTAATGAGAATAATGGTAGAAATAAACATTTGAATGATAATAAAGAGAATTAGGAAGAAACTATAAATTAAAATAATCTAAATTCGAATAAAGAAAATTTTATAAATTAACAAAAATAATAAAAATAGGAAGAATAAGAATAATAAAAAGAATAATAAAAAGAATAAGAATAAGAATAATAATAACAACAACAACAACAATAAGAATAATAACAACAATAAGAATTATAATTAATAATAGAATAAACATAATAATAAGAATAATAATAATAATAATAGTAATAATAATAATAATAATAAAAATAGGAAGAATAAGAATAAGAATAATAATAAGAAAATTAAATAATAATAGAATAATAATAAGAATAAAATTAATAACAATAAGAAATAAAAAATTTGAATGTAGAACACTAATTAGATGATTTAAATTAGAATATATCTGATTAATAAAAAGAAATTCCTTAAATTGAATAATAATCTGAAAATTTAGAAAAATCTGATTAAATAAAGTATGAATACTTAACATAAGAAACTTTAGATTTGCTTAATGAAATTGCTAATAAATCTTATAAAGCAAGAAATGTTGAGATATAATTTTAAAAGTTTATTGGTCAAGTTAATAATATTTAGGATACAATTAAACATTATTTTGGAAGAAGTTAAAGTAAATTTTCAAAATAGATTAAGTAAATGAAAAAAGAAATTATTGGACATATCAATATAAGAGGAGATGGAAACTGTTTTTATACATCTTTCATATATTAATATTTATCACTTCTTTTAAATGATGAAAAGAGAAAAATCTAGTTTATCAATTAGATTGAAGAACTCTCTGCAAATATAGAATGTTTAAATATTAAAATAAATTAAAATAAAGATATAGTGAAAGAGTTTAGTTGGTAATTTTAGTAAATAAAAACAAAATAGTAATTGTTAAATCAAATAAGTAATCCAGATTATTTATTTTATTTACTATCTGTTATTGTTTTTAGGAATTATTTTGCTCATATTTTTTAATAAAGTGAAGAGTATGCTTAATTTGGTGATTTAAATATTTTTGCTGATCTTATGATATGGGAATAAGAGTGTAACAATAATGAAATTTTGATAGCTGCATTAATAGAAAATCTTAAATTGTAATAACTTACATTAATATAATTTTAGACATCTGATCCTATATTTCATAGATATCAAAAATAATAGTTATGAGAAGAAGGAATACAAACCTAAATAACAGATTGAAGGTATAAAAATAGAAAAAATCTTTATGTTATTAAGTCCAGGACATTATTAAATCGCTATACCTATATGATACAAAATATTATTAAGTATATAATATTTTATAAATTTAATCATATTATTTCTTAAGATTACAAGAAACGATTATTTTATTATTTTGTTTTTCTATTTGGAATAATCAATAAACATATTTTTAATAATATAATACTTAAAATTATATTTTATGTAAAATAAAAATTACAAGAACATAAATCTTTCTGGTTTTGGTGAATGGGGAAAAACAGAGAGAAATCCAAGTGCACTTTTAATTTAATAATTGTCCCCATAATAATAACATGATTTGAATATTTAATCCATTAAAATTCTCAAAGTTACTAAAGAAGCATGTGATGATTATTTAAGTTAAATCAATAATAAAAATGCTATAAATATTCATCTCGGATTGTTTGATGAATTATAAAATTTTCAATTAGAGATGTGTGCCTATAATAAATTAGATTACCAATTAAAAGATTTTAATGGATGTAAAATAAGAAGAGCAAAAATAGATTAAGAAATAGATATGGATGAATAGATAAAATCATCTTTAAACATATCTCAAATTATATTCTAATTATAACAACTTGGTTATTAAGTAAATAAATCATACGATCCAGGTAGGTTCCTTTGCAATTATCTATATTATCAATCATTAAAATAAAATCCAAAAACAATATTTCTGCATGTACCACTTTATGAAACTATAAAAGAAGAGAAATAATTATAATTTTTGATTGACTTAATATAAACTCTCCATAATACTAATAATGAATAAGATATAATTAAAAACAACTGAAATTATGAGCGAAACTTAAAATTATTATAAATCAATCAAATTTAATTCTATTCAACATTATTTTTCCTCATTTTTTAAATTTAAGAAATAATTTTGGTACTTTATAAATTAATATCTATTTCTTTACTCAATCTATCTATATAAATTATTTTCTCTTTAGTATTATTTTCTATAATTTTTATTTTTATTTCTAAAATAATGTCTAATTATGATAAATGATAAATTTTCTTATTTAAATGAGGATAAAATTAAAGCTTAATTGTTTGAATTTATATTGTGGATGACTATAATTTTGGATTGATATAAATAGTAAAAGGAATATGAAATAGAAATGAATTGAATTTAATTAATATTAATATAAATATTATGGAAGTCAAATATCGCCCACCACTTAATGATGTGTAAAATATATATCCTATTATAATAGTAATGAATGCAATTGGTTAGAAAAAAACTTTGTATCATGTTTGAAGGAGAAGAGTGTGAAAGATGATTTACCAAAAAGAGTATGCAAAGTTGAGAATGTAAACATAAATAATATAAAAAATAAGATTCTTTGGTTTTTTTTGGAATGCCCTGAAAGATCTGGACCTTATGAGGATGCAAATTAATTAAGGAATATTTATATAAAACAAAAATTAGCAGATTTGAATCCAACTGTGCCTGAACCCAGGAAAAGAAAATGAGAGTGCATTTTCATAATAATAATAATATAATAAAAATAATTATTAAGCAATCTCTACGAAATCATAAAACTTTAGATTGGAGCAAAGATGAGAATTCTTCTAATGAAATTTTGCCATCATTATCATTATCGCATTCCTTTAAAATTTGTATCCAAATCTGGTTAAATTACACTTAAATACCTCATCATCAATATCCCCCATAACATTTTATAACTCTGCTTTGGAAATATAATTATCACCATCTAAATCAATAACTTTAAATGCTTATTCCATTTTTTAAACTGATAAAAACTTTTCTTAATTCATAGCAGCAATTAGAAATTCTAAATATAATTAAATAGTTTTACCAGTAAAATCAACTTCTCCTGATCGATTAATATCAACTAATTCCATAATATGATCTACTTAAATGATGGCTAATTCTTAATTATTAGTAACTTAAGTATAACCATCAATTAATTCTTATCTTGATAATTTACCATCTCCATTTTTATCAATAGCTTTAAAAGTTTTATTTAATTCATCTTATTCTTATTAAGTAATTATTTATGTAGCCATAAATGTCAAAACTGCTTATTTAAATTTACTTTTAGCATGAAATTGTTATAGATTTTATAATGCCTTTTAATTGATGACATTAGAAGGTGCATTATTTTAAATCCATTTATCATTATAAGCTTCTTCAGCACTTAAACGTTTAGCTGGATTTGGATTAAGCATATTCTTAATAAGATTTTAAGCATCTTAACTAATATGAGCCCAATCTTCATGATCAAATTTTAATTGAGCTGCTTTTACTCTTTTAAGTATTTCAGATTCACTTCTACCAGAAAATGGAGGATATCCACATAATAAAATGTACAAAATAATCCCACAGGACCAAACATCACATTTTTCATTATAATTTTCTAAAAGAACTTCAGGTGCTATATAATAAGGTGTGCCTAATCTCTTAGTCATTCTCTTTCCTGTTTCAAATTTTCTAGAAGTTCCAAAGTCTATTACTTTAAGATCTGCATCAAGTGAATCAGATACAAAGAGTAGATTTTCTGGTTTTAAATCTCTATGTACTATCTTCTGGTTATGACAATACCAAACAGCACTTAGTATTTATCTCATTAGTTCTGCAGCTTTCTTTTCACTAAAGAAGTTCATACTCTTAATACGATCAAATAGTTCTCCCCCAGAACAATACCTATCCTCAATGAATTTAGTACTTACTCGGTTACCAAATAATAATTTTTATCATCTTCGAATAATTCATACAATTTTACAATGTGTGGATGGTCTAAATTCTTCAATATATTCATTTCTGAAAATAATTTTTCTTTATCTTCTTTCAATATAGATGTCTTCTTTAATTATTTCATGGCTCGATCTAATTTAGTCTTTTTATGTGTAACTTTCCAAACCTTTCCAAATGCACCTTCTCCCAACACTTTACCAGTAATATAATGATCTGATATTTAACCTTTCTTCAATTGAACAAAAATATCAACATTTACCTGTAATTTTTGATCCATTTCTAATATATTTTATTTATTTCATACTTTATAGAGATTGCTATTCAAGAATTTTCTTTCTATCAGTGTCTGAATTCTATCGCTCTAATAATTATTCTAATTCCTTTGACACTTTCATTGAAACCTTCTTTGGTTCTTCATATACTTCCTTTCCATCATCAGATAAGTTTTGTTTCAATCCTAAACCGAAAGTTTATGCTGGAATATATGCTTAACGTTTGCTTGCAGTTGTTTGTTTAACAACTCTCTTTTATGATCCTTAGTCATTATCTCCAAAAGCTGCAGATTGAACTGAAAGTTCTATTAAGTCAAATTGTTAATTATAAATACCATCTTAAGTTTGTAAATTTGACTTACAACAAGTTGCTCCCATTATTAAATTAATTTATTTATAAAAACTATATATATATCATCAAATCACTAAATAATTATATATAATCTTTATTTGAATGAAATGAAACAATTTTATCAAAAAATAAGAAGATGAGAAATCCAAATAAAAATTAATAATTAATATTATAAAATGGGTTCAACAATTACAAATAGTATGAAAGAGAATTAAAAAGAAATGCAAAAGGAAATGTAAAAGAAATAGTTAGAGATGATGTTAAAATAAAGATAAACTTAATTGGCTATGTAATTTGCTTCAGGCAAAGAATTTTTTAATTGGTTTGCTTCATTTTATGCTCTAATATTTCCATTATGTATCTTAGGGGCATTAAAAAAGAAAGTAAAGAAAATCATAATTTTAGTTAGAGTCCATTCCCCATTATTCCATTGATTCCTTTAGGTTTTGTATGTGGTTATTAGTATGATATGTATTATGGGTAAATAATTGAAAATATTGAAGTGATAAAATGAAGAGAATAAGATTGGAAGCAGAAAGATTAATAGATAATGAGCCTTAATTATTCTACTTTCCTAAGAATGCCCATATTGTATCATAAGAAGAATATGAAGAAATTTTGGGAATAAATAAAAACAAAAAATGATTATTATAAAATAATGTTCAAGTATAAATCATTTTGGAGATTGTATGCTTAAAGTTTAGTTTTAAGTATTCCATAGATAGTTACTGGTTATTTGTGCATGCAATATTTGGACTTTCCTTTATTAGACTATGAATGGTCTTATATTGGATTAGCTTCTAGTTGGTTGTTTTCCCCATTGATGATTTAAGTTACTCGATTTAAATTAATGGGTATAAATACAATTATGTTGGGTATTGGAATTATTGGATTATCAATTGAAGATTACTCTTCTTAATTAGTCTATAAGATCTTTACTTGCTTAATTGGTATAATTGTAGGATGTGATTGGTTATTAACAATAAGATTCATAAGAGAATAAGTAGGATGGGAGGAAAAAAGATCTGTGTATCTTAACAATAATCCAATAATCTGTTTTTTTCTAGGGACTTTGTTAAGAATCAGTTATATTAAGAATTAGAATTTGGAAGATGAATAAATTGTAATCAGTAGTCTTGTAATATTGACAAATTCAATTCGATTGCTTTCGTTCCTTACAATTTTTAATAAACAGACACTGGAGTATTATTATAGAAAATTTAAAGAGCTTTAAGGTAGAGTAATAATAAAAAATGAATTCTCAGGTAATATTAAAGAAATAGAATATTTTTATATATCTAATAATGAAGCATACAGTGAATTAAATAGAAGAACAAGTGCCTTATTTAGTAAATAATATCGCAAAAGATTTTTTGGATGTGTAATTTTAGCACTTTTATCATGGTTCTAATTCAACAATCACAATTATTTTCCATAACCTGATGAAATTTTTAAACATCCATTACGCTATTTTATTCCTGCCATTCTTACAATAGCTGTTCTAAGTCAAATAATATATAGAAAATTTAGTATAATTTTAATTTAATCCAAGATGTAAAATATGCTATGATTTTTTTCAATATTTTATTGCTAATTTTAAGTATCCTTCTTTTAATGAAAATTCCATTAAAATTGTAAGGTCAAGAAATACTCATTAATTTTTCAATGTTACTTAGTTACATTATTTACTATATAGGTCTTAATCTACTGATTACGCAATAATTACCTTATAAAGGTATCACATATGCATTAAATTTAACTTTTGTATCCTTATGTGGAGCATAACAGATTAGTCATTTAATTACATTATAGGTGAGCTCAAACTTAAATTGCTGGCTTTAATACATTTAAACAATAGCAAATATTCTATGTTTCCCAGTCCTACTATTATTAAAGAATGTTAAATAGCTTAGGGAATGTGAAATTTAATAAGTCTATGATTGAAATTCGTTTTAGTATTAATATAAATATATATAATATTAAAAATATATGATAAAGTAATCACACTCCACGTATGCTGTTATATGTTTAGTGGCATTCTCTCAAGGAGTGATTAACCTTTCAGAATTGGCCATTTCATACTTGCTAAAAGAGGACTATGGAATGAATCCTACAGAAATGACATACATATAAGGCATTATCAGCATACCTTGGGTAATTAAACCTATATGGGGTCTTTGTACGGATTTGCTTCCAATATGCAGTTATAGAAGAAAGAGCTACCTCTTTATATTTGGTCTAATGGGATTTGTGTTATTTTATGCTCTATCCATATATGGTACAAAAGATGCAGTAGCAGGTGTGTCTATTTTATTGAGCATTTAAATTTGTATAGCATTTTGTAATGTTGTTGCAGGTATTATTATATAACAATGAAGAGGCTCTATTGGTTGAGATTTCGACCGGTAATGATAGTTCAACCAACAATGTCAGTTTATTTTTTGGATTTAAAGCATTTGGAACACTTATGACAAGTTATTTAAGTGGTTATTCTTTGAAATATTTGCAGAAATAATAAAGTAAGTAGAATAGCTATTTTAGTTTTTAGAATAACTTCAATATTTCCTTTGATAATTGCTGGAGCATCACTATTTTTGAATGAAGGTTAACATAAAGATACTGATATTAAGAAGTAATTACAAGAATTACATCGATTTTTGAACATCAAAGCTATATACAAACCAATTGTATTTATTTTTTGCTTTATGTTGTAACCTTCAACTTCCACAGCAATGTTTTATTTTTAAACTGTCTATTTGCATTACACAGCCGAATTTTTGGGTAAGATTAAGTTCCTATTTGCTTTGGCAAACATCACAGCTGTGAGTATATTTAATAGATATTTAAAAAACTATTCATTCAAATCTGTATTCTTTGTAACAACATTAACTTATAGTGTTGTAAATGCCTTACAGATATTATAAGTGACAAGAAGAAATGTTGAATTAGGTATAAAAGATGAAGTATTTTCATTATGTGATACATTACTTATGCAATTGGTGGCTGAATTGAATATGTTACCAATTTTAGTTTTGGCATGCAAGATTTGTCCATCTAAAATAGAAGGTACAATGTATGCATTATTGATGTCTACAATCAATTTAGGATAATTGGTTGCAAGATAGATTGGAGGGATATTGATGTATTTTATGAGTATGATAATTTGTTAATATAAAATAGATATAAATGAAGCTTCGTTTGAGAATTTGTGGATAATGATAACAATGACCAGTGTGTATATATTGATATTGTTACCATTTCTATCGACAATAAAAGAAAAAGAAATGATAGAGTCAAAAGATGTGTATAATAAAAAAGATTTAGATGAATAGGATATTATAGGAAAAGGATATGAGAGATTAAGCTTATCATTTGTGGACAGTTGATAATTTTTATATTACTAAATTAATAATGTTTAAGTAAGCACATTCTACTAATTTACTTATTTAAATGATTAATATCATTATGATAAATATCTTGATCTTAAAATTAAATATCATTTGTATACATATCCTTTGAATAATATCATTTTATTTTATTAATCGAAATATTAAGAGAATGAGTATCAAATGATAGTTTATTATTTAATGACTTAAAAAAAGGTGAAACTGTTAGTTAGTATTTATTTAGAATAATGAATGTAAAAATAGTATTAAATAAACAATGCATAAATAAATCTACATTTAGTTAATACATGATTAAATCAATTTAAGTTAAATTAGAATCAATTAGATTTAAATGTTGGGATATTTATTCTTATTATTTTGTTACAGTTAAAAAGGCCATTTATATGTTCTGCACTTTAGAGGCTTATAAATTAATCGAAATATTAATTATTGTATTTTTATAATAAAACATTAATGAAATTGTCATTACTTCAACTTGAACGTTCTTATTTGGATGCTCTTTCTGAGTTTGGTAAATATGCTCCAAATACAATACAATCATGTGTGAATCTCATAGAAACTCTTAATCAAACTGGTCGATAGTATATATAACAGAAACAGTAAGGTGAGAAATATTTTTAAAGAGCCATTGAATTAGCATCTGGATTAGAAATGGAAGAGTTACTCAATGTAAAATATTCTACTTATATGTTGTACGCAGAGTATCTTGAATATTAACATAATAATAAGTAAGCTTATAATCTACTAATTCAATTACTTCCTTTGTCAAAAACCAGTTAAAAAAGTATTATAATGACATAAGTCTAAATCATGAATCATATAATAGAGAATGGAAGACTTTGCAAAATTTCAAATGTTGTACAATTAAATGAGAAGTTGCTGAATCTGATGTAAGAAATTGGTTTGACATTTTATCTTTATAAACAGTTCCCTAAGAAGTTTTAATAAATTCTATTATAAGCACTCTCATTCTAAGCCAAAATTTATCATAAATAAAATAATTATAGAGAAGCAGCATCATTATATTTTTAATCATATCATCTATCTGAAGAATTACTTGGGATTCATGAAAAAAGAACTCAAGAATATAAAAGATTATATGAACTATTAAGTGATAAGATATCTTTAAACATAGAAATTTAAAGTCAGGATGAAGAAGAAGATGAGCAACCCTAACAAATTTAAATAACACCTTAAGATGAAATTCTTTAATCTTTTCGACCTAAAATAACTTCATTTAACAATTATATTATCAATGTAGATTCTGCTAGAGCTCCAAAACTTTCTAAAAAGGTAGATAAAGCAGATAAACTAACTACATCTTCATCTATTAACAAACCTAATTTTCTAATTAAAGATACACCCATATAATCTTTATTCATTATTAAAAATCAATCCAGAACTAGACCTACTAGTTCTTAAGGTACTTCTAAATTAACTAGTCCTACTTAAGGTGTCTCAATATTATCCAAAAAAACCACAGAGAGATTTCATACTAAAATGCTCTCTTTGGAATAGAGTGCCATAAGAACTCTAGAAGATGCTCATCCTCCCAATTTAACAAATGAATTACTCATTAATAGACCATAATACGAAACTAAATAATTTAAAAGGGTAGATTTTGTAAAATAAGAAAATTCTAAGTAAACTACCTCTACATATTAAATTCAACTTACTATTCCAACAAGATCCTAAATAAGAGAACCCTCTAGAAATAACATAACGGCAAAAGTTGATTCTAAAAAATTATCTAATTATCCTAGTACCTAAAAAATTGAAAGACCTTCATAAAGAAAAATTTTAGCCCCTGAAATATAACCAACTAACTTATACATAAAACCTATTCCAAGTACTTAAAATTTAACAAATGATAATGATGAAGATATCACCAAGTAAGAGGAGAATAAAAATGTATCATTTGAAAAGGAAGAACCAATAAAAGTACATTCTCCTCATGATTCAATTATTGCTAAATATTTGGAAACTCATTCTATGTATATATTATTAGAAGCTGTTGAAAAGATTAAAGGGAAACTTAAAAAATATGTTTAACATTCTAATAAACAAAAAAAAGAATTCTTAGAACGAAAACATCAGCATTCACCCAATAGAATTTTGATGAATAATAAATCACAATAATTAGGTAGATCCAATACCTTGATAGATATAGTTGAAAAAAAACTGCTTGAAAATGAAGCCAGTAAAATTATATATAAGTTTTTTTAATCAGCAAATACAATGGAATGGTATCCAATTCATTTTTATGATAAATTATTTACTGATTTTGAAACATCCAAATGGATTCTTGAAAATCCTAGAATTAGAGGTTAATTTTTGTAAAAATCATCAAAAAATGAAGATTATCATTAAGTTAATATTGAATAGATTCAAAATATTATCTTTAATTTAAAACGTTAATCAACCTTTTAAGTAATTGGGTCAATTGAAATTTCAAATCATACAAGAAAAATTTAATTTAGATTTATAATAGATACACTTATTGATCATTATAAAGATATATAATCTTATGATGACATGATGGATTTGTTTGATTAATTACTTAATATATATCTGATGCAAGAAGATTTATTCAGTGAATGGCTTGACAATAGGAAGGACTAAACACTCTATAGAGTAAGTAAAGATGCCATAACAACACAAACTCAAAAAAGGTAAAGTCTTAATATTTAGTTATCTAAGGAACAAAGAATTTAATAATAAGAAGATATTTAATATTATCAATATCTTTTGTCTAAAGTCCTTTTTTTAATCAAAAGAAAGAGTTATATCAAGACCATGAATGGTTATAAATTTAAATCTGTTTCATAAAATCATTAAGTCTCTATTCAATAATATAATAATTCAATTTATCACAAAAAATTAGAAAGAATTAAATAATACTTTTAATATATAGATTATCAAATATAAAATTAGGCTAACAAACCTATTTTGAGTAAAAAGAGACATCGCAAAAGGAATAAAGATAAGCATTTATTTATAGCTTAGGACAAAAAATAAACAATTAGAGGAATAACACCTCCAGTTTAAGATGATGATTCTCAAGTATATACATAAAGAGGTAGTCCATATGTTTCTTTGAAAGATACAGGCATCATACTTGGTAATGAATTATAATCTGGATAATTAATTTTGGGGGCAGAGACTCCTATTATCTAACCATTATTGAAATAAACACTAATATCAAACTGGAAAAATATGGGTATATAGGAAGTACCTCCATAATTGACAGATATATTTAATTTAGAAACATAGGATTATTTATAAAGATTATTTCCAGAATTCAAATTGAATATTCCTCCTATTAATTACCATCCTGCTCCTGCTCCAAGCATGAAAAAATTTTTAACTGAGTCTCATTATCATTTTAGACAAGAAATTTCAACAAAAAAATATGATAAATTGGAATATAAACCAATTCACTCAGAAGATTACTTAATTTTAACATAAGTAGTTAAAATTGAGAAACAATTTTATTATCTTACATTATCCAATAAATTAAAATTAAAATAAGTATTTGGTAAAGATTTATGGGAAGATGAGTTTGATATTGAATTGAAACAACTAATCAATTATTCTGTAGGAAGAACAGGATATATAATTGATTTAATAGAATTATAGAATATATTATAGCAAAAATTAGAAATTGTGAATTGCAGAATTTAAATCAAAGAAAATGAGACTGATAATTCATATTAAAAAAAATTAATTAAAATTTATAGAGTGAATAAAAGACTATATCATGTAATCTAATCATTAGAATTTGTTGAAGAAGGACTCAAAGAATTATCATAAGTAAGTAATAGCCAATAATCTGATGGTGTTGAATTAATTGAAGAATAAAAAAGAGAACCACTTATTGATATTGTATTTTTACTTGGAGTCATAAATAATAATACCTATGTTTAATATCCAAATGTTATACCTAATTGTTATTTATTAAGAAATGTAAATGGAAAGTTCATGTTATAAGACCCTGAGCAACCTAGAAAACCTAAATTTCCTTTTAGATTAATCATGTCTCATGAAGATATGAATAAACACATTTCTAGAACAAATGAATAAACTATTAATGCAAAGGATATCACACTATTTCCTC